TTCATGTTCGGCAACTACTCACTATTCAGATCCTGGAGCAAATTTGACCAGTTCTTAGTTCTAGTTAGGAACAAGATGAAATCGTGTTTTTCTTTTGAAATCCACCTGTGGGCCTTGTAAAGCATACCGTGTCCCAAGCCGGATAATAAATGAGAAGGGTTGTAGTCACCTAGCAACCAAAGTAAAAATAGTCTAATTACAATGAATTCTCCAACTACTGGAAAGAGCAGCCACATTTTCAACCCCATAAGTAGGATTGAAGCGTAGTTGATCAACTGACGTTTTCTTTTCTTTTGGGATCAAGGGCCAAGTACATATTGGCCCCTTGGAGCAAACTCAATCCAAACGCTAACTGCTTCTAGAACATGTCATTATCTATATAGCAAGCATATTAATTATATTTATCAAGTACCAAAATATTCTTGTAGAAATCACTCCCTTTTAGTATTGCAATAAAGTAAATTATGCTCGACGCTTGTTCAATCTGGTGTATAAATTACAGAAGGCAGGTCAATTAGCTCAAAATAAGTAATGATAAGTGCACCGGAGGTGTTAAACAGCTTGTATCCACTAACATTGGGTGTAAGAGAATTTCAGAATAGCAAGTATACAAAGGCAGAAGCATAAACAATTTGATAACTAGAAAAAGGAAAGAGAAAAGATGAATTAGAATTATTCACAGAATATTGCAACCACCATGATAAAATGACAATGCCACATCCAGACCAACCAGCTATGTAGGAGTATGAGGTTTAATGCTGAAGGCAATAAAGTTGCGAAAAATTCATTAAAGGACTAAATAAATCATGAAACTGAGAAAAAAATGATCAGCTAAAATCCAAGTTCCAACTATGTACTAACCTCCAGTGTCTGGTGTATCTTTATGAACATGATCAACACCCCTTTTCTGCCGCACAGTTGAGGCACCAAAGCAGCTGCAGTTCATTCCAATCCGTACTTTAGTAGGACAATCTTCTTACTTGACCGATAATGCCTCCTGACGTGTGAATTACATGTTAGCCTTCTCCAATTTTTCTGTGATAAATGAAAATGTTCACTGTTTTTGAGATATATCCAAATCAAATTGTTGTCAGTTAGCTTGCTTTAAAAAAACTGAGAAGTGGAATGAACCGGACCAAATGGAGCAGGATGGATATAGAATTCATATAACCAACACGAACTAGTTTGTAATTGAGGCGTACACCAATTTTAAAAGAAACACATCTTATAACCAAATGCTATGGCTCTACTACTCAGGTCAACCATTGAAATTTACGCATTCTACAGTAAAAATATTAAGTTTTGTATAGTTTCTTTTGAATTAACTATGAAGGAAACAATTAACTAAAATTCAAAATTCCCGGTAGCAGAAACAAAAAAACTACATAAAGTACATATATGCATAAGTCAGTATATGCATATGCATCACAGCCTACCAAACAATAACAACACCCCAGTGGAATCCCAGTGGAATCACATCCTAGGAAAATGATTTATTAATAAGATCGGTTTTGAACCCTAAAAAGATAAATAAATGCATCATGTATAAGCTTTTTTTCATCTAAAAATAAATGAGCACGTTCTATAAATAATATCCCCGCTTCAATTTATGTGAATCTATTTGACTTGGCACATAGTTTAAGAAAGAAAAAAAAGACTTTTGAAACTTGTGTGTTGTAAACATGCCATAACATCTGTGTGACTATAAATATTTTAAAACTTGTGGCGTAAACATGGCATAACATTTGGGCGGTTGTGAAAGTTTCTCATTAAGGATCATATTGGAATCCCAAAATTAAGAGTTTACTTATTAGGAATGAGTTCATTCTTTTTTAAATGACTAAAAAGGAAATAAGTTCATATAAATTGAAAGTAGGTAATAACATATTTTAAAGTTTTAAGTATTCTAAGCAAATGCACCAAAAATCAAAATTCTTGACTAATCATACCATTCTGCAATTGGCTCTAAATTAAAACCTCTAACTCAGATTCAGCTTAACCACTTCAAACTTGACTGATCATAAGCTAATTAACTTATCTACTATTGATCAACAGAGCCAGCAATTTTTAACAGTAGCAAAAGAAAACAAATTGTAGCTAGCTCAATTCAAATCCTGAATAGCAATTCAAAGTGTGTGTGTGTGTG